CCTCTCTCTCTCTCTCTCGCTGTCAACGATGTCTAAGAGGTATCCCTGCCTATTGTCCCTTCTTGTTACGTTTTCTTCGGTCGATCGCCATCGTTGCTGCTCTTCTTTCTTGCGAATTTTGATCTGCTTGGCTTTGTTTTAGTGGGATTCTTGTGTATCTACGTGTGTCATCTGCTGCCTGATGTTTTCTGGTTCATATGAACATAATTTTGTGTTTTCTGATATCGTCGATGGAATCTGATCCCTTGGTGGTCCCGTCAGAACTCAGCATTTGCATTTATGTTCATGTGTCCGCGGGTTCTTGTTCATATTATTGCCAAAATCCATCCTTGCCAGTTTGCTTTTTCGCGAAATTAATCAAATTTGATTTCTTCCTTCATGAAAGAAGGAAGATGCTGTTGAGGGATATGGCTTGCATATTGTTGCCGTAGTAGTAGAAGATTGAACCACAAGATTGTAAGATTTCAAGGCAGAACCATCCACCACTTTCTTCATGAAAGAAGGAAGACGCTGTTGAGGTATATGGCTTGCATATTGTTTCCGTAGTAGTAGAAGATTGAACCACAAGATTGTAAGATTTCAAGGCAGAACCATCCACCACTTTAACTGCAAGGAGGAGTGGGGTAGAGTGGGGCAACAAAAACTTGCAGGAAATCTAATTTGATGGTTTAATGTCTTGACAAGATACTAGAGGAGCTTCTAGGTTTTCTCGATGTCCATCACCATATAAGTTAGACCTTTTCCTGTTAATGCCTTTCGTCCACATATGAGCTAGCTAAAAAGCCACCGTTATCCTTTCCAGCAGTGGAAGCCGAATCAATGTCATACTTACATTGCCACAACTTATAATGGTTGCTAACAACCTTAAAGTAGAGAACATAGGCTTGGAACTTGCCAGGGACATTTTTAGTTCATATTATAGAATGTTTGCTTGACGAATTGATAACTTCCTACGGATAGAAAGATAAAGGCTAGTATACATCTATTTAATTGGAATATTATTGAATTCCTGAGGCTATGATAGGCATAAAATCAACAGCCTTTATTCTAAATGGACATGGTGGTAGCATTCTGATGAAAAGATCTGATGCTGCTTCTCGAGATCTTTTGTGCTTGTAATATGTTGATTCTATGCAAGTGTTTAGCATTTGGATCCAAGCATTCACATGCTGTTAAGTGAGATGCTCCATATTTACAAACTGGTGATTGTTGGAGACTAATTTGAGGAAGAATTTGTGTGTATGTGCATCCTCCCCTAGCTGAAGGTTTTTTTTTGGGCCAGAACCCCTAGATGAAGTTTGATTTAGATAGTTTTGTTATATTGCCATGCTTGTGTTCCTAGCCAGGTTTAGTATTTCATGTCGCTTGAAGCAAAGTGTCTTAATAGTGCTTTATTGGCTTCATTCTTATATTTCTTAAAAACACATGTAACTACAGAAGGAGGTTTCTTTTGGATTTCTGGTTTTCCAAAATCTATAAGAGAATATAGGATGACCTTATACATATAGTGTTGAGTGATTGATTGATGAGATCAGACACCCTCCTCTCTTTTATTCCCCCTCGTTATCCGTGACCTATCTTCAAGTTTGGGATTTTGGATTCTGCCTATGAATGTATCAATGTACATCTCTGAAGATTCTACAGATATGCGATTTGATCATTTGATTTATGGCATGATGCCTGGCTTTGGTGATCCAGGTGATAGTTGATGGATACTTTTTGTGGTTTAGTTCTTCTGGATATTGGAAGATTAAAAAACTACTATGAAGATTTTTTTAATGTCTTCGATGCATAGCATGTAGATTTTTTGCCCTGGTTATTCTTCATGGATTTTCTGATATCTCTGTTACTTCACCTATCAAGGGAAAACATAAAGTTTTCATCTACATATGTAGAATTTTGTCTCTTATAGTTAGACACTTAGCAACTAATCAGTTATACATTTATCATAATCCAGAATTCTTTGCAAGTTTTTTATACATGGAGCATGCTTAAAAGGGGAGTACTGTGAATTTTCCCATGATTGGCAAGATCAACCCAACAATGTAACACATTTTCTATTTGAATTTTTGTCTGTCTTCAATACCATTTTTTTTCTAGGATAGCATTGTTGTGATTTCTTTTATTCTTATTCTTTGTTACAGATATGCACCTTTTACCAGAAAGGAGTGTGCTCTTATGGTAGTCGGTGCAGATATGACCATGTTAAAGTTTCTCATCATCAAACATCTGGCCCGTCACCGTCAAACTCTCATCCTCATGTTACATCAGATTCTCATCAAGCTACTCGCCCTTCTGTAGTATCTTTGACGAGAGAATATAATCCAAAATTAAGCACATCCATAGATGTAACATCAATGAGTCCACTTCATACGTTTTGCTGTACATCTGCGTGGACAAAAAAAATTGAAGCAGATGCTTCATTAAACAATGAGAGTGGCCCCTGTCCTCCAGATGGTAGACCTGCCGATCTGCCTATATGCTCATTTGCTGCTGCTGGTGTATGTCCTCGTGGAGAAATGTGTCCTCATATTCATGGTAATTTGTGTTCCATTTGTGGAAAGCATTGCCTGCACCCATTCCGATCTAATGAAAGAGAGGATCATATAAAAATGTGTCACAAAAATAACATGCATCTTGAAGCTTTGAAATGCAGCCAGGAGATAGAATGTAGTGTTTGCCTTGAACGTGTACTCTCTAAACCTACAGCAGCTGAACGAAAGTTTGGGGTACTTTCAGAATGTGACCACCCATTCTGTATTTCATGTATTCGGAATTGGCGTAGCAATTCTCCAGCATCTGGCATGGATGTCAACAGTGCCTTAAGGGCCTGTCCTATATGCCGACAGCTATCATACTTCGTCATTCCCAGTGTCATATGGTATTCCACAAAGGAGGAGAAACAAGCGATAATTGATAGCTATAAAACCAAGCTCAAGTATGTTATCCTTAAATCCCCTCCACACTCTCCCCATATGTGGCAAATTTTGTTGTGTTTTAATTGCACAACCCGTGCAATTTTTTTAAAAAAAATATGTGATGCCTAGTTGCCTACATGAGATATGGAGATATAATTAGTGTAATTTGTTTATCTTGGACGTGAGTTGATTCTTTTCCAAGGTCTAGTTTGTCTAGTAAGTTGTGAATCTTTAGAAGCTAACTTCCAAAGAGAAGTTACGATACAACCTGTATATGCAAATCTGTTATCTTACAATCTATGCTGCTTTCTTCAATGTTAAATTTCTTCACTTAAAAAAAAAACACTAAAAGAGTGTGCATTTCAGGCTAGGTGCTGTATGAGATCAAGACAAGGTTTGACTACTTTAAAATTTCAAGGTAGTTAACCATGATACTCAGTTATGATTGACCTGTTATTAGTTATGGCTGACCATGATACTCAGTATCTGGGCTCAAGTTTGGAAGCAAACTGGTCTGATCCAGATGTCAAGGATGCTTCTGAGGGTGTTAGATACTATTTTAATAAACATATTTGTTTCTGACTGATTTGTCCTGGTGGATCATGCAGCAGTTAAAGCTATTAAGGTCTGAAGTAGAATATCTTTCTTGTCTCATGCTGTCAATTGCAATATTTAGGATCTTACAACCATAAAATGTAGGCTTAGTGTACCTTTATTTTGTATAATTGGAATTATTGAGATCAATATATAAATATGAGGAAGGAATTCAATGAAAGATGTTTTTTAAATGTAAAGCTAGAACTTTCCTTCTTCCATCGGGTGTGGTAAGGAACCTCTTTACTTAGGTCCACTAGTGTATCTAATCTCTGTGACCATATTTATGAAGCTATGCACACATCCTATTGAATCTCCATTTTGGTTATATCATAGTTACATAATTATGTTTCAAGTGTTATTATGTATTGTAATTTCTTATGTAACACTATCTATCTTATAGCATCAATAAGCTGATGAATCATGAGAGCTACAATTTATTTTGATTATGGTTATCATTCATTTTTGTTTGGCGAATTTGAGCATGTCACTCTGCAAAGGTTATTTGCTCTATGGTAATAAATTTTGTTGTTTGGCAGGTCAATAGATTGTAAATATTTTGACTTCGGAAATGGGACTTGCCCCTTTGGGACTAGTTGTTTTTACAAGGTTTGGGTGACTTTAATTTGGAGTTCCTTTTCTTGTTTCCTGGCTGTTAGAAACTTATATTTTCTGCCCATTCTATTTAATTATTATCTGGCATTGTAGTTAGTATCTTCCCTTTATACAGGTAGACAAACAAGTGCATTCATGCACATGTATCTCTTTTGTACCTGATGTTCTTTTCATGGTTATTCTGAAACAATCAAACTTTGTTCTTATTAGATTATTCTCTAGGTACTGTCTGTCTAAAAAAGTGTTATATATGTATATGTATATATATATATATGTATATATATATATATATGTGTGTATATATATATATGTGTGTATATATATATATGTGTATATATATATATATGTATATATATATATATACATATATTTATATACACATACATACATATATATATATATATATATATATACATACATACATACATACATATATATCGAGAGAGAGAGAGAGAATGTAAACAGTTTGATTAATGAGAACATATTGTGTTCTTTAGGTTGGTTGGCTGTGGTTGCTTCCCTCCCTCTTGTTTCTTCCTGCTGACCTACATCTATCAATCCATGGTCTGCCTTTGCTTTTATGTCCTTTGTAAAAGTTTTTCTAGTCTGCTATCCTATCATATAACAGAAATATGATTGATAAATGACTATTGCAAGTGTCAAAAGCACCAATCAAATTTCTCCTACAGCGGTGGACCATCAGAACTAGCTTTGGAATTCCATTTCAACAAGATACGGTGTACTCCTTTTTCACTAACATCATGGTAGATAAACATTCACTGTAACATGCATAGTTCCTTCAATGACATGCCAGTTCATCACTGAATTTTTCCCTAGGATATGACGATGTTACTAGATCTTCTGTTCAAAATTAAGAGATTGCTGGAATCCAGATCTTGATCTCTATTAATTTCAATGACTGGTTGCTGATCTTCTTCTATAATATCAGCAGTGTCTTATATTATATTCTTTTGAAAAAAATACTATATACTTTTGACCTTTTTAGTATTTCTATTTATTTGCTTATAGTTCATTGATAAAAATATGCATTCTTTACTTTATTCCAGGACTGATTTTCTATTTTAACAGTCCTAGAATGAGTTTCTGACGAAACAAACTATATCAATCTTCCAGCATGCTTATAGAGATGGTCGTCTAGAAGAAGTGAGACTGCGCCATCTAGATGCTGAAGATGGAAACACTGTTATTGCTAAAGATATTAGGTTTTCACAATGATTGTGTAGTTTTTTTTACCATTTAATATACTGTGAACGAATATATTAGTGCTGACGTTCTTTGCTTGATTGTTTTTTCAGGCTTTCTGACTTCCTTAGTGGATTGTATCTCTAGGTTCATATTGCTTGTGTCTAAAAATGTAAGTATGGAGCATGATGCTATATACCTTCTCATCATCTAGCATTTTCAGATGAAACTGCAATTGAGTTTCCCTCCAGTACTGATGGATAATAAATCATAGAACTTTGTTGCACTGGTTGATTTTACATCTTGGTTTGTATTGAAAGCCTCCGTCGTACTTATAGCCCTTCCCCTTTATTTGCAGGATATATATTATGTCCAAGTCAGCTCATTGTACTGGACTAGATGTGTAATTCTAGTGAATACTTTCAAGGTAAAGTATCATTATTTCTCTAGCACCATAAATTTGTTGTTGCTTTTTTTCTTTTATGCCTCTCTATATTTAGACTGGTATAGCTTTCTGAATTTAGAGTGTCACTTCCATGGGTTGTATTTACATATCAAGATAAACATAAGGTATGACGATCTATGTATATGCAATTTTAGTCAAATGTTTGTAAATATGGATGAAATTTGCTTATTTCAGCAGGCTAAAATGTCAATCCAACAATTCATTATAACTATAAAGCGAGTCGTGTATGGAAATGCAAGACGTGAGATGGATCTTAGTCCCGTGACCATTCCGTGATCTGTGAACTAGATGGTGGACCACATCATAGACTCCTTTTATCTAGCCATTTCATCAATATTTTCATCCGTGATCCAATCAAATCTGATCTCATGCTCTGCAGTTGCCATATCTCCCACTTGCTATCTGTTATTTTTCTCTTCAACTCTCTCTTGTAAGGGCTTTTAGTTTTTGCAACTTTTTTTTGTCCAGCTGTAGTACTCTCAGTAGACCTGCCAGGACTCTTATGAAACTATCAATGCCTCTATATCCCATTCCAGTTGCTAGCTGTTACATTATTTAGTGGTCAAGAGTTTTGAGTCCCATTAGGGTGTTTTGGTGGTATGTGTCTGTGATAGCCTAGAAGCCAAGAAGAATTGAATAAGCATTTTCTACTGCTGAACTTATTCAAAGAAAAGAAAGAAAAATATGAAATGGACTTCCATTCTCCAGCTGATGAGTTGTATATTAAGAAGGATTTTGTTCCACCTGCCTCTACAAGTGTAATTTTGAGATCAAATAGAAAAGTCTGGAACCTAATCTAAACAAGACTGAATCAACTCCAACTTGACCTGAACGATTATAATCATGATTTAAAATACTGATCACTATCAAAAAAGAGAAGAAAGGATATGAGGGGAATAGGTAAATGGATTGTTTGGAATAGCTACTCTCATGGTCATGTCAAATCAGGAAATATCAAAGAAACTAAGAGTCCTTCCTAGCAGCTGCCTGCAACCCAGGTTTGATCACTAAGGCAAGGATGCTTGTTAAGGTCATATGTACACTCGTTCAATGCTTCTTTGGATGTCGTGTGATAGATGCTCCTTGCTCCTTCCTGTTGACTGAGACCTTGATGTAGTGCATCTAGTGGTTTCTCATGGATTGCAGTCACAGAATGTTAGAAGAGTTGTCATTATATTTATTGTTAAGTGATAACAAATCACTAAATCTTGCTCAATGGTTATGGAGCTTACTTTAATTGCTGCTCAAATCTCAACTCATATATAAGGACTGGTGTCTGTTGTTATCTTGTGGTGTTTTGCAAGTTGTTGATGCTCCTATATTCTTAGAACTGGATCATCGATCCTTTTGGACCTGACATCTGCATGAGTGGTTCGGGACTACAATTGTGCTTGGTTTTTCATCTCATTTCGAAGTTGAGATGGAATGAAGATAACAACATGAAAGAAACAAATGGTGTGCGACTGTTACATATTATTCACAATGAAAGACGTGAATTAGATATGCATGTTTCTGTAGTAGATTTGTTTATTTTGGTTTTCAGATCTTGCTGTCTAGTGTTTGTGATACTTTCGCGTGTTATGTGGCTGATGTATGTCGCTTTGTTTCAGTGCAGAATTGTCTCTGGATACGAATGAAGGTAAGAAGGTTATAGGGAACACCATTTTGATCGGCTGTAGATTGTGTGTGGACAAGTTAGGAAATTTAAGTACAAGACCATAAAAATATTGGATAAAAAAAGTGGCAGTGTGTGACGCATAAGACATCTGTGTATACTTAGTTTTGAACAGACAATGCAGATTAGAATTTTGTCCTTAATTTCTGTAATCATATTCGATGCTCGTGGCTTATTAGTCAGAAAAGAAAGTTCAAATGTTCAGGTCACATGCTCAGACTGGCGTGTTTTCTTTCTTAATCTCATCCTGGCGACAGCCTCAATTCTTCTGATGATCTTTACCAAGTCGAGGAGACTTCCCAATGCCATTAATTGTATCATTGTTCTGTATTTTGTTCATTACGATTTCAATTTCAATGCAATTTTAATTCCCATGCCCAGCCAATGATGAACCAAACATCGCAGTGAAACAAATCGGACTGTGTATCTTTGAAGGATACAGGGCATTTTAATGCAAATGATATGATATAAAAGATGTGGATATCCTTCTGTTTGCTGAGGACTTTGGGGATTGATGGTTTTAACATGTCATTCAATGTAGGATCCACTTCGCATCAGACCCACTGACCATAACTCTCGCCATTTCCAGTGCTGTCATAGCCACAGTTATTCCTGATATCCTCCATATAAGCTTCAAGCAACGCCAAACGATATGAACATCTTCTTCAGTTTGAGCTACCATCATGAATGATGTTGTTCGAGTCTGGTCTTCGACGGATGTCCCCGGTTCGGTTCGGTTCGGTTCAAGTCGTGGAGCAAAAACGAGCCGAACGGGTTCAAGGCAGGGAAGGGTGATCTCGTAATTTACGACATGTGTACTTGCCAACTATATATATATGCACACACGCACATTTCTATTCCACCTTCTCGCAGCCCTAGGGTTTCGTCATTGCCGCCGCAGAGACCAACTACTCGAGCTAGGGTTCTTTTCGAGGAGAGCGGCGGCGGCGAAGATGGTGGAGAAGGGTAATAAAGGGAGGAAGGAGGAGGTGGTCACGAGGGAGTACACGATCAATCTCCACAAACGTTTACATGGATGGTGCTTATCTCTCTCTCCTGTTTCACTTTATTTTCTTGGATCTTTGCTTCTTCGTTTTATGTAGTTCTTTGATTGCTGAATCATTTTGTTCTGCCACTAGAGGTACCTTCCATCAAGGGCTTTAGTCAGGATCGCAGTATCACTGTTGTTGCATCTTCAAGTGGATCTAATCCTTTCCGCAGCGTAACAGTAGCTTTTTTCTGTTCTTTATTACCTGTGCCGCCAATTACTTCGAGCCTTCGTAATTTAACCTATTAGAGCAGTAGTATATTGGTAAGGCAAAAAAAATCTGGTTTAAGCATTATACAAATCTAAAATTGGTTTCATTTACAAAAAAATAAAAAAATCTCATTTTATGTATTGGAATCTTGTAGTCTCATATCCAAAGATCTCAAAGTAAACTCAATGGGGAATTTGTTGGGGTGGATGACATATTGATTGGTTATGATTATGTTAATATTTCTTTTGATATATCATGCCAAGAAAATGTTTTGTAGCAGGACAGTGGCTTATTTCTTTGCAACAATTTACTGATCTGAAACGAAGACAAATTGAACTTTGAGTTCATAATAGTCTTTTGCAAATTGTAATACAAGGTCAAATAACTTGTGTGTACATGTATCCCTGTGCAGAGGTGGCATATCCGATATGTGTGGCATGTGACAATTGCATCGATCTAGATGTTTTGGATTCTTCCAAACGGGACTTGAATGCCACTTTGTAAACAGTCCAGCAAGTTGCAAAATATTAAACTCAATATATGCATGACATTAGGATTGCTTCGATAGCCCCAACATTGTCAAGGACTTTCATCAACCATATATCTCCATGAGCTGATGGAGTCATTTAAGCACAGTGCAAGAGTTGTGAGCATCACTATGACCTCAACCAGGTGGTTGAATCAACCTATGGGCTTATTTCTAACAGCAGGAATCTCGGACCTTCTTGAAAAATCATCAAGGTTTTAGATCTTCATTAAATTTTTTTGATGGATCGTGACAAATTTGATGACTCTTTAAGATTTTTTGTAAACAGTCTTCAACTTATTTTTTTTAGTGCAGAATGAGCCAATATTAATCTCATATATAAGTTAGATCAACATATGTTAATTTGGTATTACCTGCATGAACTCTTTTACCACTTAACTTTGGTTTTGCCCTGCATCAACTCTTTCACTACATAACTGTTACCATCTCTATAGCCTGCTGGCACTGTGCAAGTATCAGCATATAAATTAGAGGAGTGTGTTTGTGATGGAAAGAAGCACATTAATTAGAAGGGAGATCTGTGTGCTTGTGATCAGAAAGATTTTGTGGTTGTCATTGTCTGCCTGGTGTTCCCAAGATGAATTTTCTACTGAAAATGTAGAATATCCTGAATCATGTGCTGTGGCAACTGCTTTTTAGTGCAATAGCTGCTGTGACTTGTTTCCTCTATTCTTACCTTCCTCTTCTCTCATTGGGTAGCACTTTTAAGAAGAAGGCTCCCAAGGCAATTAAGGAGATCAAGAAGTTTGCACAGAAGGCCATGGGTACCACAGATGTCAGGGTTGATGTGAAGCTCAACAAGCACATATGGAGCAGGGGGATCCGAAGCGTGCCAAGGCGAGTCCGAGTGAGGATTGCTCGCCAAAGGAACGACGAGGAGGATGCCAAAGAAGAACTGTATTCCTTGGTCACAGTTGCGGAAGTTCCACCGGAGGGGTTCAAGGGATTAGGTACCAAGGTCTTGGATGAAGCAGACTAATTTCTGCAGCAATGGGCGCACCACCAGTCAAAATGAAGTCCTTATAGGTGATTTTGATGCACTGTTCATGTTTGGACAACGTAGTGTTTCTGTCTTGTTCTTCATGTTGCATGTTTAAGAACTTTGTTATTGATCCTCGTGGTGTTTTCTTTCTCTGATTGCACTTTCAATGTTTTTTTTATCTTGATATTTACGCTGACAACCATTTTGTTAAAGTTGTGGATGTATTATCCAGGGGACCAAATGAATTCGCTTACCTTTACATCGACCAAAGGGAATGTGGTCACCGGTGTAACCACATTAACATTCGACAATTATAGACAACCAATTCGAAGGGTTATATTGAGCTTATACTGTTTCTTTTTCTCGTTAGCTACACAGTATTGTTTCACTGACCTTCAACACGTTTAATAAACTTGTTACTTTCACGTCAAGGTTCAGTAGTTAGTGTGGGATCAGCGTTCGAGTGTGTCATAAGGTAGGTGATTGGCAATTATCGCAAGGGTTGGTGGTTCGAAGATAAGGAATTTGGTAGGCCATCCTACAAAATTTCAAAATTTGGCTTTAGTCAGAGCGTTTGGTGTGCTATGATAAAATTTGATCATGTCATCATCGAATGATGCTTCATCGATTATGTCATTATTCAGTAGATGATGCCTCATGATTAAATTTCGTCACGACTAAATTTGATTATATCATTGACAAACTAGTCTCATTCAAGGGATGCTTCTCGTTAAATTTGAATATATTGTTTGTCTCAAATTCAATTACATCGTTACTTTTATGTCTAGATTCAATCATATTATTCATCAGATTATATTTTATGATTGGATTCAACTATATTAAACTAATATTATTTTATAATATTTTATTATTAAATTCAATCGCATCATCATCTGATGATATTTCATAATTGGATTCGATTGTATTAATACGAGTGAACGCTTCATAGGCAATTTTAATAGCATCATCCTCGATTGACACTTTCACATTATCATATCATTGTCGATGTTTCTCACTAGATTTGATTATATTTATCATTAGGGAGCATTTCATGATCGAATTTGAGTGCATCAGGATACTTCATGTTAAATTCGATCGCATCATAATTGACATGTTTTATGTCTAGATTTGATCGCGTTGTCCCGCTTTCGCGAGAACCACATCAAAATGCACGAACCCTGCCATCCCATCCGACCCACCCTAAAATCCAAATACACACTTCATCACATCACCCGAGACAGAATCGGGCCTTCTGGTGGGCCCAGGTCTCGAGCATGAGATCGGGCTTGGCGTTGACGATGACGAGGAAGGAGGTAATGTAGCAAGGGAGTTCACAATCCTCCCACTTCCTCGACTCCCCCGGGGGTGGCGGCGGCCGGTTGAAGAGATAACCCTTGGGGCGCTCCTCCGTCCCGGGGCTCGTCCACCGCCCCTTGTCTGCGCCGCTGCTCTTAGTCGGCCGCCCACGCGATCGCCTTCGATGGAAGATGGGCAAGGAGACCCTTTCTTAGTTACACCAACCCGAACAAAACCCAGTTTTGGTGGGCTTTATTGTGCTACCGAAAGCCCCTTTCGGTGTGCTTTAATGGGCCACGATTAGTCCAAATCAGTTATGCGAAGCCCATACAACTGAAAGAAGCAGCCAGAGAGAGAGAGAGAGAGATTGCCTTTAACTTGAATGAATAAGATGTTGTTGGGGCACAATAAAAAGGGTCTCTTTCTTCAATAGAAAACACCGCCCAGATTAGATTAGCTACGCTAAGCTTGGCCATGATCTCTACTACTACAACAGTACCAACTCCGGATTGTACGTGTATTGCACCATGCGGCGGCGAGGTCTGAGTATTTTGGTCTCCTTCATCGATGCCCGTCTCACGATGAGGATCACGTGACCAATGATTAATCGCTTACTTTAATCCGCTGAACTAATCATTGACGTCCTCGATCATTATATACTTCATGAAAAGTTCTCATCAATTTTCATCCATTTTCACTTAGATCGAATTCCCATATCTTATCATTGGAAATTTTTCACGTAACATTTTTATTATTTTATTTCTTTTTTCCGTTAAATTGTATCCTACATCTACTCTTCTTCATCAAAAACATCAACGAGATGAGCAGTGATGAGCATATATAAATCCTTTCGTCGTCTATGCCTGCAGATTGACTTATGCACTTAGTCTTAGTTCAGTCTTATATGGTCGCTTATCATTCACGGCATAAGTATGGCCACACACGAAGATGACTAGTGATGGAGGCCTTATCCTCATTGTTATCACTTTCGATTGCTCTGCTTGCATCTTCATCATTAGCCATAGAAACTATAAAATGTAAGGATAGAACTGATGAGGAGAGTTGGGACAATAGGGCCAACGATAACTTGTAAGGTTCGACAAGGACGATGGTACCGAATGAAAGAGATGACTAAGGAATATCATTATTTTTAAAAAATATCCAGTAAATTTTTTAAAAAAATTAGGATGCTATCTTAATTTTTTTTTTTTAAAGATAGTAGCTGTTTTTTTTTCTTTCAAGAATTAATCTTTTATTTTCTCTGCTGCAAAAGGCAAGATCGAAAAACAAAAAGAAGTCAGGTTGCAGCGCGGTCAACATCATTTCAATCAGATATTAAGAATGACTTGCAGCAGCTGCTATCTCAAGGCCAATCCAAATCCAACCGGTGAGCATGAATCAACCAATGGGACACGGTGATGAGTGCATGCGCAACACCGTTCACTTCTTCAAACATTATCCACAATTATCCGAAGACGTGTCCCGTTCTACGCTTTTCAAGAATCACGAAAATGCAGTTCTAATGATAACATTCGCTAAGGCATTAATTGCGTCACTTGTAAGCACACACACACAGCTCACCGACCATTACCGGGATCTTTACACCGCCACCGCGCGGGGTCACTTGCAAACTGGCAGCGGTCCGCCGCAGAGGCAGTCGTTGTTGGCGAAGGACGCCGCCTCGAGGTGGTCGAACGGGGAGCCGGTGGGGATGTGGCCGCAAAGGTGGTTGTGGCTGAGACCCAAGTGTCCAACGAACGCCGCCGTCACCAGCGTCTTCGGCACGGGGCCTCTCAGCTGGTTGTATGACAGATCCAGCGCCGTGTAGTACGAGTGGGAGCCGAACACGTCCGGTATCTCCCCCTCCACGGCGTTCCGGCTCAGGTTCAATATGCCCAGCCCCCGGCTGGAAAACAGCGCCGTCGGGATCTGGCCGGTAAGCCGGTTCGAGTCGAGATACAGCGACGACAGCACCGGCACGGACCCGAGACTGCCGGGGATCTCCCCGGAAATGCGGTTATGGGCAAGGTCAAGGTCCGCGAGCCGGGTCATATGGCCGACGGAGGAGGGGATGCTACCGGAGATGCGGTTGCGGGAGAGCATGGCGCGGCTGAGCATGCGCAAGTTGCCGAAGTCGCCGGGGATGGGGCCGGATATCTGGTTGTTGCTGAGGTCGAGGTGCATGAGGGACGAGAGGGCGAGGATGGAGGTGGGAATGGAACCGGATATCTGGTTGTTAGCGACGTTGAGGACGGTGAGGCGGGAGAGGTTGCCAATGTCGTTGGGGATGGGGCCGGACAGGCGGTTGCCCACGAGGTCAAGGATGCTGAGAAAGGAGAGGGAGGTGAGGCAGGGAGGAATGGGCCCGGAGATCTGCTTCCAGTCGGCGAGGATGAGAGTGGTGAGACGGTCCAGGCGGCAGATCTCCGGCGAAATGCGACCGTACATGAGGCCACGGGATCGGCCGGAGCGGGAAATGATGCGGTCCTCCGACTCGTCGCGGAGGGAGATGCCGGCGACGCGCCCGGTGGTGGGGTCACAGCTGACGCCGAACCACTGGGAGCAGCAATCGTCGCCCGTCCACGAGGAGAAGATTCCTAGGCGCTTCTCGGACAAGGCGGAGCGAAAGGCCAGGAGCGCATCGCGGTCCAACGTCGGGCACCCGGAGCTGCCCCGGACGCACGCCGCGGCCGCAATAACGACGAGGACGAGGACGAAAGAGAGCAAATGAGGCGCCATGGATGGAGGGGATGGTCCGGCGGGGGTTTGCTCTCTGCCCTCGCCCTTTTAATAACAACTCCGCATACAGGTCCAATGCAAGTAACAGCAGTAACCGAAGGTCAGGAAACGCGTGTCCATACCTGAGCGGCGGAATCGCAAAGTGGGAGAGCATGGGCCGGATCAAGGGATTGGGTGGCGTGGGCCCATATCATTTAATGCGAACACGACCGTCCTTTGTCCAGCTAAAAGATGATGATGTTAATCACGTAGACAGCCCAACGGTTCGATGGTGACGTGCGAAGGCTCCGACGAGATAGCGCACGATCCTCGAATTCTCGTCTTAATTCCCAATACAGATGGCAACTGCGCACGGAGGCACCCCAATAATTGCACATATTTGCTCGTTCCCCTGCAAACAAACGACATTTATATCACGAGGATGATTTTGGAGGACTTATAGTTTACTGTATATTTTATGAGCTTTTATTTGGATTTTTTTTTTTTTTTTGCCATATAAACACACTGCTATTCCTTCCTGACATTACAACTTGATGCAGGAGAGACTACTTTCCAGGTAAGATGCACTAGAAAACAGAGATATTTAGAGCTTGGATGCACTCAATGCTTGTTGCTTTGCTGCAAGGAGCATATCAGGTATGGAACTAATGAACAGAAATTTATCGGCTAAGAAATTAATTCTGTCTAATAAATCAATGCTCTGTCTAATAACAGCCTATAATAATAACAGTTAACAATAAGAATTCTTTACGACACATTTCAGTAAAAAGAACATCGAATCAGTCATAAAAAGAAGAATCGCATCATACATACAACCCTATATGAAGGAATAAGAAGTAGAGGAATTGAGGAAAACATATCCATCCTACTTCAAGAAAGTACAGTGCATACTGTGGCTGTATCTTAAGAGCAGATGCAGATTAATGAAGACTGATGGTCAAACTGATTTAGGTAGGCAAAAATAGCCATAGTTACAGACTTCGACAAGACATGGGAGAAGTATTTCATTTTGGTTTCAGTTTCTGCTCTATATTAGATCTGGTCAAGTAGGTACAAATAAAGCATTAATGAAAGCCCATCTGCAATTTATTAATGATAGAAATACTTCACAGATTTTGATCAATGAAAAGACACCTCATTTCAGATTCTTTCTTAATTTAGAATTCTTCTGCTATTTTTCTTTTGTTATCTTCTCTACTACCTTTCAAACCTCCCATCTTTCACTCCAAATTTACTATTTATGTCATTTGATGTTTTTTATTTTCCAACTTTATTATGGGGCCTCTATATGCTAAACACAAAATAAAATAATTAAAAGTCTTATCCAGATACCACAACAAGCATTCTGCCATCCTCTTCCTATTACTCATTTACTAGGATTATCTATAGCTATGAATTCAATATCCTTTTATGCATCAACTAATTAAACACAAGTTCTTCAGATAAATTAATACATTTATCCAACTCAAGTCAATATTCTAAAGATATATAATAAGGGTGGATACATGAGAAAAATAATATGTGAATCCCAGCATATGCAAAGGTTGACCCTATTTTTTTCATTACAAGATAAGAAGTGTAAGAATAATTTCTGATTCATTGGCAACTTCTCTTATATAGTTTGTTTCCGATTCTTGTTTGATGCACTACAGCAATTATGTTCAGAATTAATGAAATTGCTTTTTTAAATTATGCTATTCAGAAACTTATTGTAAGCTTGTGACCATGAACCGATGTATTAAATCAATTGTTAAACTCAATCTTGGAAATCATAGTGGAAAGAAAGAACAAAACTCAAGACTGACAGATCATGGTGAAAGAAAGGAAGGTAGTAGAACCAGAGTAAGAATTTTAGCTTCAATGAAAAAAAAATTTTGATGATGAAAATTTGGAAATGGCCAGCAAAGGAGAATTGGAGCTAGGAGGTGTGAATTTTAAAAGTCTACAAGGGCTTAATATCATCAATTTCTAAGGGGAAAAAATCCATAATTATGAAAACAATCAGCAACCAGGAGAAAAAATCATAACTGGTCTATGAACTTATAGCAATGAAACTAAGCCTTTTACTTGGTGAAAAATGCTTGTCTCTCCGGAGAGGAGGTTGGTACCAATTGTGGATTTTTGAAATCATAATCTCAATGTCAACATGGATTTTGCTATGGACCATATAGTAGAAAGAAGAGATTTATAATTAAAAGACACAATAAGTGCATTTCTTAACCAAAAAATACATCAAATCGATGAAATACAGACGCCTAGCAAGCATCTCTTATCAATGAAATTTAGACGAGAATTAACAGAATGTCATACTACAATAGATGAAACCTTTACCTATTCCCCCTTTTGTGACAGATTTCCAAAAAGAAGCGACTAATACTGCATAAACACTACCAGAAGTGAAAGGCATGAATAGGATCAAACTAGTTTTGCTTTCTGAGGCAATAGACATGTGCGAACTTGAAAAATTAAACCATCTTTTCATTACTTACTACTAGAGAACAAGTGACATAAAGAACAGAATAAGGTGTTCCATTTTGTACAAGGCCTTGTTGAATTACTAAAAGATGCTCAGCAACTTCAATAAATCTCTAGAATTTCTTTGGCAGCTCTAAATTTAACTCAAGAAAGAGTGGCTGAACCTAATTCCACTGACCTGCATTCACAATGATTTGTTGGTTTCTCGGCATGCTCTGTCCTACCTTTAATACATTAGATCATGACTCACCTCATCTGGACCCATTAATACAATGAATCATGCAATGTGACTAAATATGCATACGCTATTGATCTTAGATAACAGCAAGAGAATGCACATTGCATGATTCATTTGCAAGAAAAAAACTAACCTCATGCATACATAATGTAACTCAAGCAAAGGAAGAACATAAACAGGTAGGTTTTTTTTACTTAATAAGATTAATTTCAGCTAATAATATGTCGAAGACGATCCTGTTGATTGCTTAAAGAACCAAGATCTTCCACCCACACTCGTTGGCAAGTTTACATGAATAGCAAGCTGGTTCTAGACCTCAGTTTGCACATCCTCCGAATCAAATTGTCTCACATTTTTCAAGCAAGGGAACATTTCGAATTATTGCAACATTTCAAGAAAATTTGACGGGCATGTCCAGAATCATGCACCCAACAGGTAAGCGGAAGCAGCACAACTCAACTAAACAGTAAAGCAAATGGATCTGGGTTTACCTAAGAAACGAAGTAGACGATGGGTTCGTTCATCGATCAGAAGTAGAGGGCCATCTGGATGGTCTTCTCTGTGAACCCGCACTTCTCGTAGAACGACCTCAGATCGGGCGTGCAATCGAGGATGACCTTGTAGCAGCCAGCGGCCTTCGCGTGGTTCGAAAGGTAACGAACCACCCGCTGCCCAAGGCGGCGGCGGCGGGCGGCGGCGTCGACGACGACGTCCTCGATGTGGCCGACCTTGCCGCCACCGTGGAGGAACTTGCGCTCAATAAAGACGCTGCCGGTAGCGACGATCCGGCCGGCCTGGCGGTCCTCGGCGACGACGATGAGGTGGTCGTCACCGAGGGCGGCGAGGTCAGCGAAGCGGGCGCGGAAGTCCGCGTCGGAGAGGGGGGCGGTGGCAGTGCTGAGCTGAGATAGTAGCTCGACAAAACCCTTGGCGTTGTCGGAAATCTCGAGGCGGCGTAGCTGGAGAAGCAGATCGTCCTCCTCACCGTCGACCGCCGTCGTCCCCGATCGCTCGTCCATTCCACCCGACATCTTCCACTCCCGGTTCGCTTCCTGGATCGGGTTAGACACCAGAGAGAGAGAGAGAGCGAGAGAGAGGCAAAAACTATTACCATGCACGAAGATTATCGGATCCATCAGGATCCGAGTCCAAATCCGAATAGTTAGCTTGAAATATAAGCAATCCGGATCGTACCCTACGGGTGAGACGGAGCCTCACGTAAGGATCACTTGATTTTTTTGGGAGCTAATTATATATTATTTTTTAATTAATTATTTTTAATATCTGATTTTTATACTCTCAAAATTTATTAAAATATATATTTTCGATTATATATGATCAGACCCTTTGATCAGCATTTTATATAATGTAAATAAAAGAAAAATAATAATTATCCTCTCCCTTCCCATAATCCATAGATCGTTATTATATATATCATATAAAATGACTCCTCAGTAGAAAAATACTGACATCATCTCTTTGCAACCAAACAATTATTGGTGAAAGAGAAAGAAGACATACATTTCAACAGCTCGCGGAAGCACCAAATCCATGACAAACAAAGAAAGCCAAAGAGAAGTAATCGCTAGTATCTGCAAAGAACCCTGCACCTGAGAACCCTATCCTCGATGTAGAACCCCGGCACGACCATGGTCTTAACTCGACCTGGGATTTGTGCTCTTCTTCTGCCTAAAAGAATCTCTTCCATGTAGAGGGGATCGAAGTTTTGGTCTTCCTCAACTCGCAATATCATCAGAGGTGGGCTGAAGGAAAAAGCGAGCAGGTGAAGCAACCAAATGCATTTGGCGGCCACAAAGAAGCACCGGAGGAGCTGTTCAGGCCATGCTCTAGACCAATTTAGCAAGGAGACAATGCAGCTCATTTTTCTATCACAAAACCTGCTGAACTCTTCACTGTAGGACTTCGTCCCCTTGCACAACACCTCATTCCAACTCAAGTTCCTAAGTGAAATGAATGATGAGAAATTCTCCTGACGATCTTGCCGTGGATCTAGAAACTTTGGCGAGCCATTCTTCTGGAACACACAGTTCTCAAAGTCCTGATACATAGACTGGTTGACGAGAGCTTCCACAATATGGTATGTCAACGCTTTGGAGTATTTATTACTTAATGCCATCCGGTGAGATTGGAGAAGCAGATTCAGCTTCTCCATCAGATTGCAATCAGTCTCTTCGATTTGATGTATCAGCATCTTGCAGAACTGTTTGATGGATAGCCTAGCTTCTGATACCATTTGCAGAAAACCCTCCACCATCACCTCGTGGCTGACGGGCATCAGATTGTCTTTGATGCCACCACTGGATTTTGTCCTCCTTGACAAATTAGGCCTGTCCAGAATCTGATCGTTCTTCACATGCTTTGTCTGCTTTAGAGCCTTCTTCAGCTCTTCACAATGTATTTCTAATGTGACTAGCTTTTGTTGTAGCTCTCCCAGTGAAGATCTCATTTCGGAAACTTCTGCAAGAGCTGCATCTCTGTTGTTGTTCGCTTCAAGAAGCTGCTTCTTCAGTGATTCAAGTGAAAGTAATCCCCACTCCTTCAGAAGTTGGGCCATGTCTTCAGATTCTATTGGATTCGGCGACATCTCTGGCTTGAGCTTCTTTTTTGATCTTGGAAATAACCATGATAAAAGAGGTCCTCTGTGCTTCGTATGCACTTGTATTGGTGGCTCCGATTCATGCGATGAGCTTGTCACTAACTTCGACTTCTTGTGCTCGCTTTCAGATTCCCTATTAATGGTTGCAGGTTTGCATGAGTTGCATGTTGTGATGGCTTCATATGCTGGACTGGTTCCACTGCTTGAAGAATTGAGGACATCGGCTATCAGAGAAGCTTGCAGTTTGTGGTTTACGCAAGTGCTTCTCTTGGAGAAATGCTCATTCGTAAAGCAAACGTTTTGCTCACTGTTGGAGGCAGAAACTACATTTCTAGACATGTTTACTGCTTCATCATTTTTGCCTGTTCGTAGATTGATAGATCTCCAGGTTTCTGATAAGCTTCGATTCTCTGGTTGGATATAGTGACGATCCCATAAGGGTTCTTCTTCATAGCTCTGTCAAACATAGACAACTGAAGTCACAAGCAAAGAACCAAATAAATGATAGAAACTTAACAGCAATTCCCTACAACCAGCCAGCATCAGCTCTAAAGAGAGTATTGATATATCTCAATGCTGATTCATGCAAATCAATTCAGTCTGCATTATATAATGAATGGGTTCCGACACATTGATTTATGGGAAGCAAGGAACATGTATGGTTGGCTATACTAGTTGGTAAACTGTTCATAGTGAGAAAGACAGCAATACAAGACTCCTGGTCCTTGGGACATTTCAATTTCTTCTTGGCCAGGCACCTGTTGATAGTGCTTGAGAAATCCTTGAAGAAGCATATGCATTTAGTATAGAACTGATCATAGATTGACGTCGTGAATCCACCAAGGTCGAACCGAACAAAGCACACTCAAAAGACCGACGCCAAGATAAGGCTTTTCCCTTCCCGCAGGGAAACGAAAACGGAAACTAAAACCTCTCTAGGTGCCAAGCAAATGAGGTAAAAGGCGAAGGGCATCGAGAGTTCTCACGGGTGTGAAGACAGGGTAGTCTTCGGCGGCGGATAGCGGATTGGAATGCCGCGAGAGCGAAGGAGAAGCGCCGACGGGGGGCCCGAGGACTGCGGAGCCACCAAGGTTGCTCCTTTTTAGCAGCGCCGCGTGCAGGGACCTCAGCTCCACGGCCTTGGCAATGGCGGCCTGGAAGTCCTCGCTTTGGGTCTCATGCGCCTGAGAAGAAGCGGTAGAAGAAGCCATGGCGCCTAGAAGCTATCAGAGGGTGGGGATTGAACTCAAAAGGACATGGTGGAGGGGTCATAATACTCAAAGAGAAAACTTCGACAAGAATATAGCAGGAGGAAGAAAGGGAGAGAAAATCCAAGGCTGGTTTACTCTAAAAGGTCGGAGATAGGGGAGGACAGAGAGCAGAGACTTGTAACATAGACACAGTGAGGAGGAGAGCAGCTGTTAATATAGACATACTGGGGAACGAACGAATGACGGAAAGCTTGCCTGCTCCGGTAATATGCACCCGGCAGTAACATTTCCTACGACATATTTCAACCAGCTCAGGTGGTTCGCATTTATGGTCAAGCTAATGATCTGCTCAATTTCAAGACACCAAAACTCTTAAATTTTAAGCCACATTAATCTTCTCAAAAGAAAATTCTTATGTACGAGGAAAATCGAAGTTATTCCGATACTATATGAGATGAAACTGCAATGTTTGATAGGGTCAGAATAATCAGCAGCCATCACATACTTTAGTTCGAGCTGCGAGGAAACCATTTTGTAGTTCGGTTAAGGGTGTTGGCGCAGATCAAGTAGAAATATTACCGAATGACTGATGATAGGAATCTATCAATACCTGCAAAGGATAACATCGACGCTGCTTATCTTTAAATCTGTTCTGTCTCGGAGTTTACGTTACAGCCAGCACTAGAGTTCATTATCCGCCAACTAAGCTATCTGGTTGTTCGATCTTGGGGTGGATCGATCGGCCACATGTTCTTTTGGCACCTGATAATGCTAAAAGGATTTGATCTTTGTGTGATAGCTACTGTCTGCAAAAGAAATGGGCAAGAAATATGTGAACCCCAAGGAGTTTCCGCCAGCAAATGGCTAGGAGACATCTCCATCCAGGAAAGGCCAAGAAAGCAAGGAGTTTCTTGTATCCATCAACAACTTAGATGGAATCAAACGCCAGTCTCGAGAGAAGAAAGAAAAGGAAAGCAGGGTTGATATAAAAGCAGCCATGGAGATTTTGAATCTGAAGCTTGTCCTATGTCTTTTGGCACATCTCAAACCAGTCAATCTAATGAAGATTTTTCACTTGGGAGTTACAGCGAGTGGAAAACGATCCAAAATAAGACGAAGGTACGTGAGAAAATGCTGATGGGCTTCTCTATAGCCCACAGGTCTGAGAGCTGGTATGAATGTCCAAGTTTACCGTCACGATGTTTCACGGCCATGCAGCAGAAGTCGATGGTACACATCCTGAACTCGATTCCAGGATACAGTCTGCATCATAACCTGAAACAGGGGAAACTTATCGTCATGGCAACATCAAAAGATTAAAGCGTCGGGGTACGTGAGTTCTGTCTGGTCCATGTTTTGCAGCATCTGTTTTCATGTTGACAATGTCAGCACGGTCACTTGGTCGGGGAAAAGAATGGTCGAAGAAGGAAAAGGCCGGAACGCCTGACGAACAGGAAGAGAGAAGAATCCCGGGTGGCCCAGCTAGCTGGGGAACTACAGACTGTAGTTGTGGCTACGACACCCTCGGCAAGCACCTGCCGTCATGTGCCATCTTCTTCCTCAAAGATGCGGTAAGATTCGATTGTACAGTGGGACTCCATCAGCGCCTCAAGCCCCTTCAGTGGTGATAAGATCACGAGTCACTTTCAAGCTTTTGCTTGAATTAGTAGTCGATTTCTCAGAAGGTGACAAGCACCTGCTGCCGACAGGGATTCGTTCTTTTGGAGGACAGACGTTCCCTCCTTCCCTGCTCATATGACACAAAAAAGCAGCCTCCCATTTTAGGAGTCGCACTATCAAAAGGTAGAAACTTCTCAAAACATGCTATCGGTCCTAGCCGGCATCCTCTCGAAGTAGTTGATCGGTGCCGAGGGAAGTTTATGCCGGAACCTTGGGTGCCTCAGCACATAAAACCCCGTGATGGGGGCGACAACCTGGAAGCTGCAAGGCAAAAAGATCAGAAAGAGAGCAGTTGCCCTTGCATCTCGCCAGCTTAACAGGGACTGAAACCTCTCACCCTCTGTAGCAAGGTCTCCGGCCACAGTTTGCACCCTTCCAGCAACACTCCTTGGTCGAATTCCTCATCGAGCTCATCAGGATGGGCATGGTCTGCATGTGATAGTCGGCCTCCATCTGTAGTACCATACTCCAATCCAGAATAAGCTGAGGAACATTGTTGGAAGTATCAACTCTGGGTATAAAACCAGTATTCAATATAGAACATGGATAAGTATTGTCGTTAAAGGGTTCGCTATGGCATGCCTTTGCGTTCTGATCCATAGCCATAATTCTTGAACTTAAGCTAAGCCTTCTTCCACCGTATTTTTAACGGCTCTTTCCAACCCGAGCTTGTCTGGTTTTTGTTGAATCGAGATTGAAATCAGAATCAGAACATCAAAATATACAAATCAAACATAACATCAAAATATACGTGAAAAATCTATTTCAATGTGAAAGGTAAAAATCATGGGATAAACTAGAGATAATCCACTATGAGAATAATGAATATATAAATCTCAATCTCTTGTCCTACTTTTAAAACATAGCCCATTATGAGCTGAATCTGTGGGCTACCAGCCCAACACATTGTGCAATCCATCAATCAAAGTGAAACAATAATTTTCCAAATTAAAAAATGTATGCAATGTAATATAATAATTACTTGCCTTTTCCATATTTTAAAGCGATGAAAGGCATAGAAATGTGCGAGTAAAAGGGCGGAAAAGCTCCACAAATGAGCCCTTCGAAGATTCAAAGAAGGCACTCGAGAGCCAGCGAGGGAAAGAAGAGAGAGATAATGGGGCGGAAGAACTTTCCTGTTCTGGAGGTTCATCCCCTCTTCCTCCCCCTGTCTTCCGTTCATTCACCTTCCGGATATTCTTCCCATATACCCACTTCGTTCCTCGTCCGTTCCCCGATTCTCATTCCCCCATCCGAGGCGCATCCGCTTTCCAGTTTCTGTCGGGTTCCACACGGCGACCATGGTCATTTCCTCTGTGTTCACGATGCCTGCAGCTCCGCCTCTTCTCGCATGCAAATCGGGGTTCAATCAGGCGCCTCTGCCTGTTCACATGGTATGCTGTATCTCTTTCCATTTTCTTTTTCTTTGACGGAGTGTTATGTTTCGAAAATGGGACCTCTGAGGGCTTTGTGGCTAATTATTAGGCTTGACCTTAGGTGATCATGAGGTAATAGGCACTCTTACTCTCAAATAGCAAGAAGCAAATTGTAGCGACTTGCCACACTCAATAAACAAAAATAAGATTAGATCTCGCGACTTAGATCGATCAATACTGAAAGAACAAAGAACTAGACCAAATGAACTATATATGTAACAATGTTCCTAAAGTTGATTGATGGAAGAGACTTGATTTACGGGCCTGTCCCATGTACGAAAGATTCATTTTATGGCGAGGACAGTTTTCAAATCATATACATTAGAAACATTAGTAAGAACAGGTGGGAGGCTTTGAATCCATCTCCTCAGCCAGCCCTTTGGATGAATTTTCGAGATACACGACATGATGATGCTTCTCAATGAATTTCTGAAAAGATCATTACCAATGAAAAACCCGAGGTTGCATCATAGGGAGAGGAGACAGTACTTTTACTTTTTTTTTTAATTATCTGAAACACATTACTCAAGTATGGATATGGCAGATCACTTACGATTCAGCGTCTTTTTTTACATACGATGTCACTGTTCAATGTGTATATGGGTCAACGTCAGTTAAAATTGCAGTGAATTAGGGAACACCTCTTGATCAACTTAAGATAGGGATCTCAAATATCAAACTGAAGCTAGACATTGCAATGAAGTACTGACTATAATGTTGAAGAGTGGAGGATCAACATGTACCTTATTTGGAGCAAGCACATGTATGCTCACCAATGCACAGCTGTTTGCTATCTCTTTTATTATCATTTTCATTACTGAATTGATGGTAATGGCATATACAGACTTCCCATGCTTAGACTGGAATTTAGAAATGGGAATAGGACCTGTTACTTAAGCTTTTTCTAGTCCTTTCTGTAATCGATGTAACTGATGCCTGGACAGATGCTGAAGCAATTTCAACTTTATGTAAAATCAAATATGACCCTAATTTATCAGTTTTTAATATCCATAGTTGCAACTCATTTCCCTCAATATTTCTTTCTTTTGCAGAGGTTTGACATATCTAAGTCATCACAGCTGTCTAATGGAAGATTGTCGCTACCTGGGTTCTCATGCACACATCAGGAGAGCATAGTTGCCCTGAATCCTGATAGTACAGTGAAGCCTGAAGGTAGAGTGAAAATATTCTCTGGGTCAGCAAACCTTCTGCTTGCACAGGTTTTTTCTCATCTTTGTTATTCTGTTGTTGTCCCACCAAATGCTTGACTTTGTGGGCTTTTATGGTTTCAAGTTTTCCAAGAAGTATTTATATTCAGAAATGATTAACAATATTCAATTTGTTTATTATGACTGAGACACTAAAATTATAATTGTTTCCAAGATCCTTAAGTAATAAATTGCTAGCAATGATAAAATGAGAGGTCAAATGTTCCCAAGCATTTTGGTTTAGAAACTTGATAGTTCCCTTTATGTTAGGACAGGGTACCTACTAGGATGACACAAAATGGATTCATTTTAGAATCTTTCTAACAGTTCAAGTGGAAAGGCATTGATATGATCAAGAACTACACAAGAGTATGAGTAATGCCATTGCACAGGTTAGGCAAATAAACTAATAAGCAGTGGTGAGTACACCATAATGAGCAAGGGTAAAAAAAAAAAAAACATGAAGTTAGTGAATGACTTATCTGCAACTTGGTGCCAAATGTTTTATAAGGTGTCTCTTGTACAATAATCCCTCTATTCTTCTACATTGTCCTGGAGTTTTCGCAGCAACCTTGAAACTGTGTGCTTGGTTGTTGAATATCTTTCTCATTTCCTTGCCATTTTTATTTCTCAATATATCCAATAGATTTATCAAGTATCAACTATGTTGCTTAGTTGTTATCTGCAAAATAAACATGCTAAAATTTAAAAGCTCATCTTAAGTTGCTATAAGCTTGCATCTAGCAACATTGTTCAGCAGATCTGTTTAATACTTGAATACATTTAATGGTATTTGACAAGCTAGTTTTTTCTAAATTTTCAATATCTGTACTGGTCTCATAATTGTGGCTATTAATGTCAATTTCATTTCAAGATATAAAGAAACTTAAGCACAAGTTTAAATTCCAGCAGCATTCCCCATGCTGATTGGACACTCGCATGAGGAGTGTTACCATGTCAAGCTGCCTGAGTATTCACCTATGAATGTCATGGCTGTGTCACCCAAAAAAGTATAAAATGAAGACCATTAGAAATTTTGTATATAGCCTGTATACCGTGTTATTTGAATCCATCTATAAACTTTGCTGTAACTAAGATTGAAATTTTTTTTAATAAAGCTGAACCGAGTTTCCACTTTTTCTGCACCTGCAAAACTTTATTGTTTCCATCTTGATTATGAAGTAAACAAAATACTAATATTCTTATCATGCAATGTTTGGTTCAAAACCCATTATTAGGATATGGTTCAAGCCTAATTTGATTTAGATCTTTGGTTAACACTAATAGACATAGTATACTTTTACCTAAAAGACTTGTGTACAAATGTTAATTTTCCGGCGATGCTACATAATTTTACCTTGAAAATTTTTAAAGACAAATATGCAAAAACTTTCATTTTTTGTTTTTCTGTTTAATTTTCTTTTCTTTTGTTCTATATCCAGGGTGGGGGATATGTGGGTGGGGCCAATTAGTACTAATTCTATTAAATGAATATGAGAAAAAACATGTAACTATGTAGAATTATGTGCAGTTATGCTGTAGTAAATTGTGCTTAACCTGTAATTCTCAGCATCCTTTTGGATCTTTACTGCCTCCTCTACACTTGGACCCCTTTGTCAGTTTTCACTTGTCAGTTAGAAGTTCTTCCTCTAAATATAGCCTTTTGAGGTGGAGTTTATGTATAAAACCACTTTCTTTATTTGATTAATCGAGTAATGCCAATGCACAGGTCAAGGCATTCAGATCATATTGGTGACCAGAGTTCCCTTGCACTGACTATTTTTCCTGAAATAGCAAGCAAGAAAACATAACTAGGTTCATGTTACATAATCAAGGAGAAATATAGGCAACTTTAAATGCCAGTGTAATTATTATGGTGTTGATGACAAGCACCAGATAGTATGCATGGCACTGTGGTGATTGGTGGAATTAGTATCCTGATGCTGCTTTATTGCTTACTTTTTTAATAATATAAATGCTTTTTTTTCTTGTTCAAATGCTCATACCTCATATCCTTTGAGCTTTTCTGCATGTACTTAGGAAATTGCCTCCTACATGGGCATGGAACTTGGTAAGATTAACATCAAACACTTTGCTGATGGGGAGGTCTATGTGCAACTGCAAGAGAGTGTAAGGGGCTGCCATGCGTTTCTTGTGCAACCAACATGCCCCCCAACAAATGAGAATCTTATGGAGCTCTTGATCATGATAGATGCATGTCGGAGAGCTTCCGCACGATCCATTACAGCTATCATTCCATATTTTGGATATGGTAGAGCAGATAGAAAGGTAAATAAGTTCAATGCAATCGTATTTTTTTGGCGTTCCCCCAGGGTGTTACTGATTTATATTTGATAAAAGCAACCAAAAGACATCTTGGTCATTGAGCCATGTGATTCTCCAGCAAACCTAATTCCTTCGGTTCCAGATACTTAGAATTTCCTATTACATGTTGAAGATATATATAATTTCACACTAGCACGAGCATCTTTGTCTATACTTTTATTTCATGTATGTATCTATCATGATGATCTGTTCTTTATTATTTTGATTGACATTTCTTAATTGTTCATGCTTCCAGACTAAAGAACGTGAGTCCATTGCAGCTAAACTTGTTGCAAACCTGATCACAGATGCAGGAGCCAACCGTGTCGTTTCTATTGATTTCCATTCTGGACAGGCAATAGGATATTTTGATATTTCTGTTGACCAAGTGTATGGCCAGGTAGCTCTCCATTATGTGTTTTATTTAGATTCGGGGTTGTAACAAGAACTTTTCTTTTCCTATTTTTGTTCCCATTTCTACAAAGTGGAGATCTGATAGTTTACTTGTTCCTATGAAATGAAGAGACCATCTAAAAACAATTATTATAGGGAAAAGATTAGCTATTATGAAGTCCAAAAACTGGGTCAAATTTCTCTATTTATATCCTTTTTATGTTACTCGATGTTGGTTGTAATTGAAAGAAACTAGTAAGTAACTTCTTTATATTAGTTACTTATAAAGAAAAACATTGGAACATGATAAAGAACTTCATTCTGCAACATTGTGGAGAAGAGTTTATGTAGATATTCCATCTTATAGTTACATTTGTCTTACATGCTAAAGACCCAGTCAATGAGACAAGTCATTAATAAAGACCTATATGTGGAAAATTCATTGCACAAACTTCTATAAAGAAATCAGGATTCAGTCCTTGAGAAAGGAGACCTCAAACATAGCTTAGGGTGGCAAGGAATAAATCTCTGTTTATCATAACTGCTATCCTATTACCTTAACGTGATTCTATCAATGCATCTTTCTGCAACTTATGCAATTGCCTTGCAATATCAAAAGTAGTTCGTCTAAAGAATTATTACATGTACCTATTTCTTATTGAAAGTTTTTTTTTTTTTCTGGTTATCATGATTATCTTATTTTCTTGTCAAGCTTACATATTGCTCCATTTATCTAAAGAAATGACAAGAAGGGCACTGACATTGACTGGAAGGATATTCAGTGGAATTGGGACAGGCTTATTAAATTAAAACTTGATATTCCATAATTTTATATAGTTAATGGTCAAACTCTTATCTGTTTCTTCTTATGGTACATGTTGACCGACAGAGAGCATGCACACAAATAATTATGTAGATTTTATCATGTCATTGCCAGAAAGTAATAAATAATAAAAATACTTTGCTTTGTACACTAGTTTTTTTTAATACAATTTTTCATGCCAAGGCTTTCTTTTAAATTTTTTATGTCAAGGCTACATTATGTTTATTTTAGCATCTAAGGAGCAGGCACAATCACTTGGTTCGTTGTGTCTGTTCCCTCCTTCCAAATTAGGGTATATTTAACCTGTTTTGAGGATATTATAGTGTTCAGTAAGGACTGTTGTATATAAAGTTTAGTTCTCTAACTATTTATAATTTGGTTTTGATGTATGTAGCCCGTGATTTTGGATTACTTGGTTAGCAAAAACATTCCTTCAAAGGACTTGGTTGTTGTCTCACCTGATGTGGGTGGGGTTGCTCGTGCACGTGGTTTTGCCAAGAAGTTGTCAGATGCACCTTTAGCTATTGTCGACAAAAGGCGTCAAGGCCATAATATTTCTGAGGTGAGATGCAGTTAATGTAGTTGTTTTTTGCGTTACCTGTAATTATTTTTTATTTTGTTCCTGGGTGTTGAAAAGTGATATTGCACTTTTTATCTAATATCATGACACCATCGCGGGGATTATATACTCTACTGTTTGTGGAATATAATACCTAGTTCTCTATACTTTATTCTGGTGAATTCTATCTGGAATAAAGCCCTGATTTCTTCATCTAAAAATGTGATATGATCTTTTAGGTTATGAACTTGATTGGTGATGTGAAAGGAAAGGTTGCTGTTTTGGTGGATGACATGATTGATACTGCCGGTAAGCTTTTACAAGTTTACTTAACATATTGGCATCACTGATGCATCTTTAATAGAATTATTCACTTCTCCTCTTGCTTCTGTTTAACATCTTCATGGATTCAGGGACTATCACTAATGCGGCAGCTTTATTACAGCAGGAAGGTGCTAATTCAGTGTATGCATGTTGCACTCATGCTGTTTTTAGGTAAGCAATGAATGCCGCATTCATTTATAATATATCAATCATAGAAAATTAACTGTTTGAAAATTTCCCGGAACACTTTAATTAGTAAAGAAGACTTGTTATAGCTACTTAAACCCTTCTTTTCTTTGGGATATTTTCATCCTTCAGCAATGATGTCTGTTGCTGTTGATGTTGATTCTTTTTAGATGAAATAGATATCTTCTGTTCAGCATAGTAAGTATTTTATAAATTAGGTTTATTGTATGAATGCTATGGTTATGACTTTAAAGAGCATAATGTAGAGTAGGTTTAGAACGGATCTTAGCTAATATTCTAAATGACAGCAAATGTGCTGATTCTTTCGTTTAATTAGGGAATTTTCGTTAATCTTTTCCTCTGATTTTCTACAGGATTTTTTTTTTCTTCATTGATTTTCCAATATATATTGTCTGCTTTTATCTATCTTCTTATCATCACCCTGGATGTGTTTGCTTTTTTTTTCTTTCAAATTCAGTCCTGTACCATAATATGCGTAACTTGTTAAACAAGATTCCCAAGTAAACTTTTTTAAAATTTTTCTTGTAAGAATCTCTTGTACATTCTTCAGTTGATCACATCATAATGATATAAAATTCTTGTGCTTGCAATCAACCAGACAAGAGTAACTACTAACTAGTGCATCAAGAAAAGGTAGAAAAAGAAATAGGATCCAAGAGGATATTTAGAGTAAAGATCAAGTGAAATGGTCAATCAAATGAAGTCATAGTAAATTAGTCTTCATTTTCATTTTTATGGAAACACATGAATAGATTAGACAACAGATATTGCATATGCCAAGAAGTTGCGGGTTATAATGAGAATTTGCTGATGTTAGATATGCACTCCTGCTCTTGCATTACCCATTACATTGTTTCTAGTCAGCCAAGCAAGTGCTGATGGTAATGACCATTAGTCTTGGAGAGTGCAGTAAAAGGAAGACAGGAAATTGTCTACCGACAAACAAACAGGAAAGAAAAATGATTGCAGAGTAATTTCTCAATCATTAATTACACTGTATCCATTTGTGTGCAATGTGTCACAACAACCAATCTTGCACATTTACCATTAGTTTTGGAGCATGCAGTAAAAGGAAGACCTGAAATTGTCTACCGACAAACAAAGTAGGATAGGAAAATAATTGCAGAGTAATTTCTGTATCGATATTAATACTGTATCTATTTATGTGCAATCTGTCGCAACAACCTGTCTCCTACACATGCTTTAATCAAGGAAGAAGAACAATGTCATGCATGAAGAGATGGTATTGCTTCCATAGGTGACTGGAACTGATGGAACTATCCATCTGGAACTTAAAATTTGTCGTGATTGATGGATGTTGATGAAAAAAACCACATGTGTGACCAGTAATTCTTTTATTCATATGAAATAAATGCTTGCTTTTAGATGGCATGGTATTTTTGTCGTAACAGGTTCTGCCTTGTTTTTTCTGTAGCCCTCCTGCAATAGAGAGGCTGTCCAGTGGTGTTTTTCAGGAAGTGATAATAACAAACACTATCCCAGTTGCAGAACATAATTATTTCTCTCAACTAACTGTCCTTTCTGTTGCAAACCTTCTAGCTGAGACCATCTGGCACATACATTCTGATGGCTCTGTTAGTGGTATGTTCAAGTAAGGTTATGGCAGGTAATTTCTACTAATCTTTGTTCATTACTGATTAATGTACTTCTACCTTCATTGTTAAATTGACTTCACAATTCAGTTCTCATATCTATTTTGGAAGTTTTCATATTAAAAGGTCAAATCCCATCTGTCAAGTTTGATTCTTTAGTTGAATGCCATCGTTTTCAATGTTCTGAAAAGTGAAACAGATTTATGATTAATCATTTCTAGATTCCTTTTTATTTAAATTTGCACATTCATTTACTCCTAGTTTTAACATTTTTCTTGGTACTAGCTGTGTTTAGTTCTATAGGCTAAAGTTTATTAATTGATGTTAGTCATAATGATGCAACTTCAGTTATGGCATCTTTCTGTTTCTTCTGAGGCAGCTATTTTCTCTTTACCAAGGTTTGCAATTTCTATATCGATGTATCGATCAATGGTTGGTACAATATGTACTGAGACGTATCGATGCTATGCTAGGGCGTATTGATGGTATACTTTGGTACGCCCAAAAACATCAAAATAGTTTCAAAAATATTTAAAAAATAAAAAAAAAGCTAGATTAAGGTTTTTAAGTTGAAAATAAATACATTCTGAATTAGGAAAGAATAGTGATACATATCTTTTCTAAGCTTTAAGGAGTAGTTTTATGGTACATTTTGAACCGTCCTTCTGTTAATATTGAATTATCTATAAAGAAATGATTTGAATTGTTAGATGTGAGTGAAAATGAGTTTGAGGGAGTTGAAGAGATTAAGAGAGTAATATGAGTTGAAAGAATGGGGAGGAAAAGGTTTAAAAATCCTTTCCTATGGTTCAAACGGTCAATTTTACTATTTGAAATAGGACCATCTCAGCTCTTAATCGGTAACGGTTGAAATTTGATTGTTACCGATCGATACAGGTTTGTAACAATTGGATTTTGATCGTTACCATCCGGTATAGATCTCGTATCACTCGATACGGGGTCAAGCTATGGTACCACTCGGTACAGGGCAGTCCGTGTACTGATCCCTTATCGGACCAGTACATATTGTTCGTACCGAACGATATGGGTCGGTATCGCAAACCTTGCTCTTGACAATGCAAGCAGAAATGTTTATGTTAATGTTGTTGAACTGATGCTTTTAGATTCAGAACATGCATATAGGGACAAGTTTGTCAAGTTAAAAAGAATGGACAGGCATCGGTCGACACAAGTTAATTGTTTCGTGTGTTGTCTTGTAGGAGGAATTTTGATGAAGTGTTCATCATGGGCTTGGCAAATTGAGCAGGCAAAACCAAAAAATTACTGCTAGTGTAAGTTGCTGTCTTTTATGTTTGCTAAAAGAAGTCATTCAAGGAACCGAAGGTATATTGCCGGCCTTTCTGTTCATCAACTAATGATTCGGAACATTGAAGAATAGCACATCCTTTGTGTTCATCAACTAATGATTCGGAACATTGAAGAATAGCACATGACTTTTCTGTTGTTTCCAACCTCCCACACCGCATTGGCAGGAAGTATATTGTCACTCTTTATTTACTGCTTCCGCTCTGGAAAACAGACGTATTTTGTTCTCAGGAACTAAAATATGATGAAAAAGATAAAGCATGCCTTTTTCTTCAGCTTATGCAGATGAGCTTTTTTGAAGCGTCGCACAACTTGGCAGGCAGATCGAGTTGCAATCTTCTTATATTAAATAACATGTTTCTGCCACACGAATTTATTGGGACATCATCAAACATCCAACGGCATCATAAGTGGAACACTGATGTGGTACAGCTCTGAGGAATCATCTTCGGGAACAGGTACGCATGTGTCTGACACACTTGCTGCCAGTAGAGTAGAATGGTAATAAGTAGCAAGCATCCGAAGAGACCAAGTAGCATCAGAGGGACGAGGAAAGGGGAACCCCTGGTAGACTGAGACCTGCGTCGGCAATAAAGATGTATGCGGATGGGTCGTGGATGCGGTAACGCACGAGTGATGTGGGTGCTGGATCGGTTGTGCCGTACGTTCCCAGTGAAACTGTTCTTTCAGCCACTCTACTCTGCTCATCCATTGCTTCTCCATCAGACCGGCTGTTATCTCCGATTTGAACAATCCAGGTGCTATAGAGTTCACTCGACAGCTCGCTCCAGCGCCATCACCTGTTCCAACGACACGACACATAATATTGTCGGATATCTGTCATTAAGACACGAGCAGCAACGCGAGAAGAATAAGCCCTCCTTTCCAATGGCCAAAACAACATCGTCGTGCATCAATTTGAAATGATAGCTGCCATCAACGTACGTAGGCATTGAAATTTGTGCCTCTACTTATACGGAATTTATAAAGTATTAGATGACTCAACCCAACAAGCTACGAAGGTGGGGTAGCTTATTGACAATCATGTTGAATTTGGGACACGATAACATCTTATTCGCTAGTCCACTCAGTTATGTATTGACATGTTAACTATGACATTGAAATATAAATTACGTGATATCGAGGTATCGATCATAAGACATCAATCATGCAATATCGATGTATCTACCACGTGACTCTAAGGTATCGATCGCACAGTGACACGTTCCTTGAGTAAACAAAAAGAAAATATTCTTTTTCAACCTTTATTAAAGGTTGGAGTTCTTTTTGTTGGGATCAGGGTTGGCACTAAGAGTGTTGAATCTCGTATTTTGATGATGAAACCACTTGATATATGTGTTTATGATTTAATCTGCGTTTTGAGTGATGCAGGATACTTCGATCAGGATGAGACAATTAAAGCAGGAAAATCATGTTGGGCCGGAGGAACATGTCAGAAGATTGGACGTTGGGCCGGTGGATCGGTCGACGTATCGACAGAAGGCTTCGGGCCGTGGACTTGGGCATCGGG